AGATATTAACAAATCCCACTAGTGACGTCAATGTGGCTTAAGAAATAAGGAAATTCTTGACAAAAAAAAAAAAAAAGTTACCAAATTCATTATTCTGGAATGTATTCAATTTAACTAAAATAATAGAATTCTACCGATTTTACTATTTTTATTACATATACGGTTGGGAGGATTCGAACTCGGCTCTCCGATTTCTCAATCCGAGTCACTAACCATTAACCTTTTAATGTAACTGAATTCAATTCTATTATTTTAATTAGATTGAAAAGAATTAGTTTGGAGTAAGGCTGCACAGTGGAATAATGGTTAATGACTCAGATTGAAGAATCGAATCCAGTTTTGTTCATTACATCACTAAATGCTAATACTTTTAGGAATGGTATGAATCCATCTCTTTTCCCTATGGAGAACTATGGGTAAGATAGCAGAACAGACTGTGTCCTATAGCCTTGAGTGGCAATCAGTCTAAGAGAAGGAAACTCTGAATTCAAACTACCTGCAGTTTTTCAGGTCCTGCACATCCCTGGTGTAAAAGGAACTGGCAAGACTTTGCTCTATTCTGCCTTGAATGTAATCCTGAACCAAAATTGTGCGATTGTCGGGAGTGATGACTACAGCGGCGTAAAATGCGCTGAATAAAATGAAATGTTTTTATTTATTTATTGGACCAAAGCTTAAAAAAATGTAAGCAACCAGAGTTCTGGTCAAAATCTTGGCTTATAACAAAATTGTGCATAACAAACTCGAGACCTACGCATTATACTAAGAAAGTCTGAGGCAGGCCGACGGGTTGGAGTGGCCAGTAACTCCGCATTTCTTTTAATGACCGTGAGACAATCACAAAACTAAACAAATATATGCCAAAGTTGACAATGAGTGTAATAACTATTTTTGGTTCGTTTTTAATTCTATTTCAGCATGATCTAGAAGCTAGAGAGCGCTTTAACCATATTGTTGTTGTATTCTAAATACATTTTTGTCAAATGCCATTTCCTAAGAGCTAAGTGAATACAAACAACCACAGTCGAAATTCGAACACGTACCCGCTTATCCCGCGTTTCGTACTGGTAACCGCTGAACTATCTAATAACGTGTTACATTTATAGCTATATAGAAATTACGAATATTAATTGATGACTATGAATGATTTAAGTCAGTACAGTGTTAATTATTTGCTAACATCTTACGTTTTGAATGCATCACAGCTGAGGTTGTTTGGTGTTTGGATTGACTAGCTTAGACAAGATGTTGCCCCACCAATAACTCCCCGATTTGGGGCGAGACAAGCGAAGATTTATCAAATTAATGTTCTTGGGGTTCAGTTTCCTAAGCAGCATATACGGTGGTGAGATTAATTTTTTTATAGGTACGAGTTTACATTCTTTATTTTATTTATTTATTTTACATCATTAAGCTTTTTGCGTATGGAAATAAAGGACAAAGTTTCTTTAACTCAGGGTTTGCCAAGCTAGCCTGGTTGACGGATGCAACTGAATAGGGAGTTAGATCCTCATCGTGTGTCCCACATTAAATAACACCATAAGGGGAGACACACGTTTTAAAATCAACCAACAACAATATAAAGGCTAAAGGATTTAAAAACGGGTTCTGTGAATTCCTGTCATTTCAGTAAACGACTCGCGCAAACCGTTGCGAAAACCTTGAATATGAATGACAACAGCATTATCACCACAGTTAAGCCACGTAGAATCTGGTCAGTAACTAGATGGGATACCACTTGAGAATACTAGGTGTTGTAAGCTTGGATGTGCAGATGATATAATGGATAATGTCTCGGAATTGTTAATTGGAGAGCTAAGTTTCAATTCCAGTTGGGTTCGTTATATTTATTTACGTGCAAATACCCTTGAGTAAGGTATAAATCCACCTCTTCTCCTCTCAGCTATGGCTTAATTATTAAGACTTTTATCATTAAAATCATTATCGCCAAAATAAAATAGAATCGTGTACAAACTATTTAGATTTCGGCATTAAACAAGCCATAGAGGTATTGATATGCCGCTAAACAAAAACAACCAAATATGAGTGAACATATCCCCAATTGCAGTAACAAAGTTGGAAGAGAGGTATGCCTTAGTGCCCGTCAAAAGTCAGTGGAACAAGACAGGTTTTTTTTTTACCACTACGTATATGCAAATGTGGGTGGGAGTTGCAACTTTAAGAACGACTGAGTGCCAAGTTTTCGTCTTGTGGAGATAAACGGATGTTTTATTTTGTCTGCCTTCTTACTGAAGATTCTGCTGCTGCTACTGCATGCCAGAGCTTTTATTATTCCATCTCGAAAAGCGTCTTCACAAGAACCAATACTTTGTGAAAACAGAATCCCGAGAGGATGCTTTCCCAATAGTTATATTCTTAACCTCTTCAAGTCTAGGGTTAATCATCATCTTTCCTACAGAAATTCATGCCTCATTCTCTCACGCACATACAACCACCTCATTCAATAACTCAGCCTTGAGTCTCTCTCGAGTCTTGTATTCAGTGAATATTAGCAAAAAAAAAAAAAAAAAAAAAAAATTGTTAAATCTTTTGCGACTTGCTCTTCTTGAACCTAGCACTTACTTCCCTTGCTTCTACATGCGGTGCATTTCTTATTCTATATGCCGTGTCTCTTCAGGACGTGAGAGATCATGTTTCTCCACATCTTCCTGTCATTTGTAGTAAGTTTTGTCTTTTATGTTATCTCTCCTAATCCCTGTTCTGCTGTCCTGGATATGACTGGCTGCTCAGTCAGTGAACGTCAAATGTTTCCTTATAAGGAAACAGCTAATATTACCATCACCATTATTATTTAATTCAATATTTTGTCATGTTAGTTTTTGTCATCAGAAATTACATTTATTATGCGATTATTTATGTTTGCCAACAGAAAAAATTAAATTGTAAATTAAAAATCTTCCAAAAAAATAAAATGGCTTTTATAGAAATAGGATTTGATGAAAATTTTAATTGTCTTTTTAATGACGACTTGACTGAATTATGAAAAAAAATATTACTAAAATTTTATGTAAAAAATGCTGAAAAACATTTATTTACACTGGATGCCTGTTACATGTCCACTTTTTTTTTTTTTACCCTTATGTGATGACCGTCCTGGGTATAACGATAAACTACATCCGCGTTCAGGGTAAGACGATAAACTACGTTCAACAGCAAGGCCTCTGCTCAGAAGGTTTTGAGGAGCGTGGAACCACCTCTTAATTGCTGATGTTCCCAGATCAATCCTGACCCGAGGTGGTAGCACCTGTTAGGGTCCCAGCTATGGGCAAATAGTTAACCCTGAAACTGAGGTAAAAAGCATTATGAAAATGTAAAAATAGGTTTTAATACCAAAAATACTTTGTAAAAAACTATTACCAGAAATAAATTTTTGTAGGAAAAAACTATTACCAGCAATACAATTTTGAGGAAAAAAATATTACCAGAAATAGATTTTAGACAAAACATAAATATTACCAGGAAAAAAAAGTTGTCGACATTAAATAACCCATTGAGGTTGATATGCCGTAAAACAAAACAAACAAACAAAATCCCTGTTCTGTCAATCATACAAGCTCGTTATGTCAATTATTCGCTACTTTCCCCTGTCCATTTTGCAGTTAATAGGTCCCGAGAGTGTCAAATTACCCAAGCCCACTTTCCTCATTATGTACCCGAGAAATTTCAACTGTCTCTTTCGGATTCGAAGTATAAGTAATCATTTTCATTTTCTTTATAACTTCGTCATTGCTCACATGTTCAGTCCATGGTATTGACAGTATCCTTCTGTCGAACAATATTTCTATTTATAACCGAACGCTCCTCTGTGGCCGAATCGGTTAAGGCACGTCAGGCTATATGACGGTTCCGTATAGGATACAGGTTCGATTCCTGTCAGAGGACGAATAGTTTCTATGAAAATTTCTCGGACATTCAGGTAAATGTCGTTAATACTGTTTATTATAAACAGGGCATTTACTTAAATATTTGTATCTATAAAAAGAATGTATAAACATAAAAATTTCTTATATATATATATATATATATATATATATATATCTTAAATATAATACAACACGCACACAATTTTTTGTGTGTAACAACTGAAGGATAGTGTGCAAAATTTTGAGATAAGACACACAGAAATCATGATCCCATTCACGTCCACACACAAAAAGCCACCGCACTGACAAACTACAGAGTTGTCACCTTCTTTCCCTCTCTCTGCGAACTACGATCAAAGCGAAAGGAGTAATGGAAAGCAGCCACGAAAAGAAACAGATACACAGCTGCCAAGAACGAAAGAAAGAAAAGAGGGAGGAAATAGAAAGAGATAGAGAAGATAAATATATAGCAGACAAAACTTGGCCGATGTTTATATTTTATTTCAGCTTGAATTAAACATTACATAAAGTTACTTTTCTTCGTGGTGTCTTGGATTGTGGGATGATGATGTAATTTCTCAGCAAATTTGTCTCACGGTGTGTCACAAAAGTGCGCGTATAAAAGCTATAAGTGCGTGCGTACACACACAGTGAGGATAAAATACAGACATCTTTCCTGAAATGCTTATAAATTGTACACTGTTCAATTATTAACGTTATTTGAAATTACAAAATTGAAGTTGGATTAAATGAAAATTACTTACAATATAAATATAGTACATATTTCTTGCCGTCAATTTTGACGGCAAGGATTCATTAGTGCGTGTGTGTGTATATATATATATATATATATATATATATATATATATATATATATATATAATTTCCTGGGTCTTGCATTGGGTCAACATTAGTAAAAAAAAAAAAAAAGTAGTTACCAACAAAGGAACGAAAATAAATATGTGGGCATCCTAGAAAGACCTTATCAAAATTCAGCCTCTGGTGTTTATTCTCGATTGAAGAATATGTCGCCCCCCAACATATACGATCTTTTGAGTCTGCTTTGTGGCTGTCATAGTGTCGTACCTATGGTCGGTGTAGCTTACGGCTACATGATATTGAAACACCAGTTCCCGTACGATCACCGGAGTTAAGCAATGTCGAACCTGGTTAATACCTTGATGGGTGAACACTTGGGATTACCAGGTGCTGTAAACTTGGATGTGCGTGTGGTGCTCGGATTTCAAAACCGGAGAGCAGAGTTCTAATTCCAGTTGGGTTCGTTCACTTATCCGCAAATACCCTCGGGAAAGGTATGAATCCACCTCTTCTCACCCCAGTGATAGGTTAATTAGTAAGATCTATATCACTAAATCATTACTACCTCAAAAAAAAAAAAAAAAAATCATACAATCTAAAAATATTTTCTGGCTTTAAATCTCTTATAAAGGGTTGATAAGCCGTAAAAAACGAATCAATCAATGCGGTTGGATTTCAAATGCTGATTTTCAACTAGACTTTCTCCACTTGTAAGACTGATACAACAATCAGTCTTATTATTTACCACCGGACTTATATCCTCATCTTTGTTGTTGTTATCACAATCTTTCGTCCGCTGTGCTCTTCGATCTTCTTCAGGTGTCTATCGATCCGTGTAACCTTCAAGGAAATTCGAAGTGAACCATTTATTCACTGTACGAAATGTGGATTATTTTCGTTTTACTGTTTTTCTAGAGGGATATCTAAGCTTGTCCACTTTTTAGTACAAGCCCTGTTGCCAATATATCTGTACTACCCGACCCATGGATTGAACTCGCAATGACTATACCACCAAATTCCCGAACCAACGATTTAATACAAATTTTCTCCAAATTTTCCAGGAACCTCGGCGTTGGGTAATAATTAGCAAAGCTAGTCTGACTGACTACCGAGTTCGTTCCTCACTGGGTGATTTAAACAAACTTTAAATAACCCAACAATGTTTGGCATGTTGTTAAAGAAACCTACCTCACCTAATCCATACTTTCCCTAATATGTTCACTCGGCTGAATCTCTGATTTGGTCAGTTACTGTGTGTGTGTGTGTGTGTGTGTGTGTGTGTGTGTGAACAACGTCAGGACTCTCAGCCGAAAGTGGGCCTTACATATTCATCTGCGATCTGTGAGGGAGACTGCTCTCTTACTGCTTTTGTGTGTGTTTATATATCTATCTGTCATACAGGTCTTTCGCTCCTGTGCATCCTAGCTGGGTCTGGGGAGAAGGATTCGTACCTTTCCGAAGGGTATTTGCGCGTGTAACGAACCCAACTGGAACTCGAACTCGTCTCTTCAATTTCTCATTCCGAGCCGCTATCATTTACACCACTGTCACACCCTTTGTGAACCGTATAAATGTCTATATGTACACAAAAAAAAGAAAAAAGAAAAAAAAATAGCCTAATCTGAGCTCGTAAAAGATTTCCAAATAATTAAAATAAATAAAACGCGTAAATCCCCCCGCTCTTCAGAGGATAATAATTTTATTTGCTGCAAAGTAAAATCTGTGCTGATCTCTAGAGAAACGTTGTTTCAACGTGATGTGTCCATAAGCCAATTTCAATTTAATGAATGTCGTTTTGATTAAAAGAAAAAATAATTCATTAAGGCAAAAATATATTGAAAGTGCACTGATTTCGGAATCCTCTACGGTAAATTTCCGCCCGGGATCATAAATCTATCTCCCTTCCTCACAAAACTATTGCTGGTTCAATGTAAATAAAAACCAAAATATATTTTTAAAAAATCTGAATGAGACAAGCTAAACAACAGGATAAACAGGCGGTTGTAATCAAAATCTAAATCTGAACGTTTCTGTTTCTTTAACGTTTCAATGTAAACTGCAACCATCATTTGTTGCATTTTCTTCCCATTTGTCTCCCCCTTTTATATATAAGAGCGGTTTCCTTCTGAAAACAATTTAATTTGAAGAAGTCTCTTCAAGGAACGAAATGAGTCACTAACATTTTTTTTCTATTTTGTATTTCACTTTCACACAATTTTTTTTTTTTTGTGTTTGATGATCATTGAAAACCGAAGTAGCTTGAAATGATTGATCACATCCAAATCGATCAGATAATTAAAATATGACATTTTCACTCTTTCAATTCAGGTTCCTCACGATTAAGAGAAAGTCCGGCAGCGTCCTATAAATTACCGTTTTTTTTTTTTCCTTTTTTATTTATTTATTTATTTCGCCGGCATTTGGTTTTATCTCATTTTGTTTATTACTATTTTATTGTCTTTTTCCTGCCATTTTATCGGAAATATGTTTTCCCATCGTCAACGAGTGACGTCACAGAACAATGTCCACTCTCAGTCATGATAAAGAAAAATCTGAAAGGATTTTTTTTTATATATATATATATATATATATATATATATATGTGTGTGTGTGTGTGTGTGTATGTATGTATGTATGTAACACACACACACGTTGAGATGATGTTAGCTGTAAATTTAGGGACACACACTCACACATGTATGGGATTCCTGGACCCGCGCGCACATGCACACAGTCACCAGCGGTCCTGTCTAAAAGCAATCATCCAAACACGAAGACGAGGGATTTTCTTTCCGAATATAAACGCAATCTCGGATACATTTTTATTCATTGCCCACAAGTCTGAGTAGTGCTTTTGAAGGCGGCGGGCACTTCAAATTTGAAAACGTAACCTTAATAATAGCGATTTAAAAAAAAAAAAAAAAACTAAACGAATGAAAATAATCTTTAAATCTGAAAGATAATCAGAAACAGAAAAACAACCTGAAGCAACGGTAAGTATTTTCTTATTTTTTGATTGGTTGATCGATTAATTTTATCTTTTACGGTTCACCAACACTTTTTTTATTTATTTATTTAACGCCGAAATGTATTTTAGATTGTAAGAAAAGTGAATATTGTATTAACAGTTTTTTGAGAATAACAATAATTTATCCAAATACAAGCTCTACTTTTTAACCCATAGCTGGGGAAGATGGATTCATAACTTTCCGGGGGGTTTTAGCGCATACGTAAATGTAAAGAACTCGATTAGAATTAGAATTCAGCTCTCCATTTTCTCATTCCGATCCGTCATCCATTACAACACCTGAACACTTTATTGGATTTACCATTTAAACCGTATATTTGTGTAGCATATATACACTTAATTTAGTCCTGCAAAGCTTTAAAGATGTAAATACGCATAAGAAGATTGTGATACGTCAGTCTTTCAAGTGGGAAGGGATATATAAGCTCCGTTTTAATATATTGTAAGAACAGATTTAAAATTCTTCTTGTACCGTTGTGAGTTCGATCCACACTGGGTACCTCACACATTTGATCTTTTGCCAGACTAAACCAAGCTTGATAAATACCTATGCAGTTCTCACAGTGATACACTTGTATTCCTCCTGCTCCTATGAGTGCATACACACAGAGTTGCAGTAGCTTTAGTATTTGCACGTATGTGCTATTTTCCTTTTCTTTCCCTTTTTCGCACAGAGGCGTATACATGCATGTAGTCAGTTACAGATAGATAAAGTCAATATTAGATACGGTCATAGAGAGATGAAAGATCTAATTAGGTATGAACGGACTGACTGAATCAGAAATAGATATATATATAATTGAAAACGACAGATAAGGTGCTTTTATTTAGTTTTTTTATACAATTTCTCATGCGATCTAATAATTATTTTTTTTCGGATGATAAATTATATAAAAACTGTCCGAATGTTCTTTTTATCCGAGCGCTTTCGGCTATACATTTAGCCATTTTCAAGGATTATATTTTAACTATTAAATATGTTTTCCCATCGTCAACGAGTGACGTCACAGAATAGTTTGTTGTATGTATGTTTTATAAATCTTTTCATTTTTTTTTTTGTTTCAAAGCACGGTCAAGATATTATGTCCATGTTCAAAGTTAATATTATTAAGTGTTGGTTTGTTTGTACTTATTAATAAGGCTTCCATTATTTTTAGCCTATTTTTGCATGTAGATGATGCTATTATATTAATGTTGTCAACAAGTATGTTCCGAATAGTGTCCGGTAGGTCTCCATGAATATTTAAATGAGATCTAATTGAGCTATTGTCAGAAACGTGTAGAGTGAGTCTGCGTGTCAAACATGTTGTAGTATGGCCTATATAATTATTTACGAATTTTGATTAATCAGGAATGCAATTCCTTAATGGCCATTTAAATTCGTAAATAATATTTGCCCGGTTTATTTTTGTTCTCGGAGGTGAATTATTATTTTTAACTATAAGGTTAGAGGTTTTAAATTTTTTGTTATAAATAATTTCATTTTTTTGCTATTGTCAACTGGTGTTATGCATTTTTTTTATAATGTTCTAAATTCTGCATTTATCCTGATATATATATATATATATATATTTATATATATATATATAATAGATAGATAGATATCTCGAGACAGACTAAAATATGTATAGACATAGATAGATTATACATGCAGTGAGCCGGATAGATAGATTATATATGGAATTGAATGGATATTTTTATTTTTAATTAATTTTTTTTTAAGAATGACTTGTTTTTTGTTAATCCTACAGATTTTTTTTATAACTTTAAACGTTACTTTTAGAGAATACTCGTATTTGATTTGGCTCTCGTTTATTTATTACAGTATATTTATTTATTTTCACCTACCAGCGAGAAATCTTATTAAAGAATTTGCGCCCTTTGGCGGGAATCGATCTTGCGTCCCTCAGGGTAGAGGAAGCCACAGTTTAGCCCGGTACGCCTTGTCACTTGGTCACAAAGGACAGACAGCCAGGCGAAGCCAATTTCATGCTTTCAAGCAAAATTACCCATCTTATAGATCTCTAGAAGGATTTTTCATATCTGCACATTGTTTACGTTTAAATACGAAACGATAAATTTTTAGAATGGATTTTAAGGTAGGTGAAAATAAATGAACATACAGTTTAATAAATATAGAGATAGATGAATGAATAGAGAGCAGATAGATATAGATAGATAGACAGATAGATAGATAGATATAGAGATAGATAGACATAGATAGAGATATATAGAGATATAGATAGACAGATAGATATAGATATAGAGATATAGAGATATAGAGATATAGATATAGAGATATAGATATAGAGATATAGATATAGAGATAGATAGATATAGATAGATATAGAGATAGATAGATATAGAG